AAAAGATTCTAATATTAACATGCACATTGTGCAGTAACATAGAATTATTGACTTCAGCATAGAACATATTGAATTAAAAAATGTCTATCCTGATTTTTAAACTGGAAAATTATAATAAAAATAATAAAACACTTCCTGTGACTGGAAGTGTTTCTATCATTTTTCGATGTAAAATTATGGATAAACATTTTTTTTATATAGGCCTACACTAATTTCTATATTTAAGTACAGTACGGTATTTTTATGTTACTTTTCATGGGCAAGTTAATTTCAAAAATTACTTTTTTGACTTTTTTTTTTGTATTTTGTATGGGACAATACATAAAGTAGGCTAATTTAGTGATATACTTTCCACTGTATGTTCACGGCAAAGTGTTATTGCATCAGGTTAAGGCAATTTCCTTCAAAGGGATCGAACGTTCTTTTACTTTCCATTCAAATCAATTCTATTTTTAAAATACCCTCAACAGTTACCAAACAGCAAATGTTATATGAAATTTTCCGGTCGAGTCATTTTCATTATTAAACAATGCAATCACTTTTCAGTATTATTATAATACTATGACATGTCTTCTTCTAATTCGCTTTTTTTTTTAAATAGACCTACAAAATTCTATTTTTAAAATACCCTCAACAGTTATCAAACAGCAAATGTTATATGAAATTTTCCGGTCGAGTCATTTTCATTATTAAACAATGCAAGCACTTCTCAGTATTATTATAATACTATGACATGTCTTCTTCTAATTGGTTTTTTTTTTCTTAAATAGACCTACAAAATAATTTATGACCTACCACAATTGAAATATTTTTTTTTTTTACGAATTACAAAAACATGATCATGATGTTGATGATTAATATTCTTACGTTATTTAATTAGGCAAATTATTAAACAGTCAATAATACCAGGGAGTTGTTATGAGTTAAATTATAGACTTTAAAGTTTGAAAATGCCTTTTCCTCCATTAAAACATAAAATTAAGTATCTCAGCCCTCGCAATTTTAGGGCCGAAGTCGTTCAGCTACCACCCACGCACATCTTCGCTATCTGTAAAATTCTCTCCCAGACCACCCTCTCTTTTGAATTTGTTGATCCACCAATATGCCATCATTATATGATATTGCTGTAACCAAGGTTGTATACTAACATACCAGTATATTTTATGATCGCAACGGTGCAAGAAATAAACACACATAATAAACAGTACAGTACAGGCGGAAGCAGGGTACTCGTGGTCATAATTGATCAACTTCGCGCAATGGTAAACCAAGCTAGGCCTATCATTACGACCCTCCAGGAGGGTATATTAACTTCATCCGCAGCGGATAAACTAATCCTTGTCGTCGTCACGAGATATAAACGATAATCGAAAGTTTATGCGAAAGCCATATTTCATACCACTGCATGTTTTTCTGAAAATGAATAATAAGATCGACCTTCCACAGCGCTGCAAATAGCTCAAGCCGTGTCAAATTCAATTAACAAGTAATATCATCAGTCAACGCAGTATTTGTTGAATCACTGAAATATAAATTTATTTAACAGAAATGGTAATTAATAAGCATATTCAGCTTATTTCAAGCTCCGGGCTGACCCAAACAAAAAGCACAATTTCAGTAGATATTTCAATGTTTGATCATGGAGATATAGGCCTAGGCCCTTTCCAAATTTAATGTTTCAATTTTCAGTCGTAGGCCCACAAAAAGCAGGTAGTTCTGGTTACTGTATATTTGTCGATCAGGCAAAAAATATTGTTGCCCACGCACGACTGATTAAAAATCTAGAATGTCTAGAATTTTTTTCCCTAAATATTTTTGCCAAAAGTATATATTTTTACCAAAGAACACAAAATAATATTTGTTTATTTTTTGAAGGACCATTTAAAGCTTTAATTAGCATATTTGTTACCTTTTAATAACCACTGATTTAAGCCCTGTGGATACCATTTTAGGCCTATAATAATTAAAATGTATGAGATGAGTGAAGGTATGGAACATAAATAATTTTCATAGTAATAAAATAAAATTGCCGAGCGACCCTGGACCTTGGACAAAACATTAATAAATATGTTTGGCCTTATGATGATAATACCAGCAGTGGCACAACATCCTGTAATAACTACGATATGCTGGAGTTCATATCAACAGTTTGTTTGATCGAAAAGCGTTGCTAATGCGGTAGTCAAGAATCAACAATCATATATCTATAGGTTATGTCAATAAATTGAGATACAATATGCAAAAAAGTAAAGAGCCATCCGAGCTTTCACTGATCAGGGAGTTGTTAATAACAAATAAATAAATGTAACAACGGATATACTGTACTCATAAAGGAAGTATATTTTCTTACGTAGACAATCGATGAAGTGGGTTTTCTTTTTGTTTTGTTTTTTGTTGTTTTTTTTAAACGAACATCGTCGACGATGATCATCAGTGTGTTGCCTTTAGAAATTATAATAACCTATAGCAAACTTGAACTGTAGTATTGATAGACTTTTAGAGGTAGAGCCCCGGGGAGCCACTAGACAGTAATTCAGTTCACTTTTTGGCAATCCTGTCTGGCCAATTGAGTGTTGCTTTTTGCTCTCTGTTATCTTGTGTTTGTCAATTTTAATGTTTTTGGACAAAATAAATGAAAAATACAGATGCGAAAAAGAACCATCCAGCTTGCATTGATCATGGTAATACTGTACTAATAATAGCGGTTGTATTGTGCTCATAAAGGAAGCATATTTTCTTACGTAGACTATCACAGTCGAGGAAGTGGGGTTTTTTTTAACGAACCTACCGTCATTTGACGATGACCATCATTGTGTAGCCATTTAAATTATAATAAACTATAGAAAACTTTAACCTTAAATGTATTAAAATATTGCTAATGATTTAAAGACCTATGCCAAGGATCAATTTAATGAAATTCAACATACAGTGTTTAGTAAAACGTATTTTTAGTTTATGAAATGGTGCTCATCGTGAAAGTACTGTATCATGCTGATTTAGTTTTAGTGGTTGTTTATGTACATAACCGTAATGAATGACACTGAATCGCTAGAAACCTAGAATATTGATCCAAAAAAAGATATGTCGTAATACATGTCCGGTGCGAAGAATCAATATATAAAATATTGACTTTTGTATATTATCATGGTATTAATTCTGATTCCGACAACAGTTCTATATTTTGATTGAAAATGATACACAAGGCATATATCCGGATAAAGCTAGGGACATAAAAAGGAAGAGCGTTAAACTAAAATGGGGTTTTTTTACAGACGTTCAATTTTCATTCTGACGTAAATGTTCTCAATTGTCTTCTTTTAGTAGAGTTCGTCAATGGCTGGTGGTTTCAAAAGAGTACAAAACATTCTTTCTGTAACCTCCCCTCCCCAAAAAAGTACATAATAAACTGATGATGTCGCATTTTGGTATCCTTGCTTATAGTTTCGTAATAGAGTACAAGCACTGTTCTTCTCCTTTTTGTATTCTCGTAATCCACGAAAAATGATGACCCTTGGTCTGTTGTCGAGAGAGAGAGGGTGTTTGTCTTTTAACACTTTTCTTGAAAAAGAAAAATCCACTGCTCACAAAATTAATGACACTTAAAATTAACACGTCAAACTCAAAAACGTTAATTCTTTATCTTTTATTTCTTACTTGCAAATTGTATTTTGCATTTTTTGCTTTTCTTTGTTTTATTCTGAAACTTATAGCTGTACATTAATTTTTCAAAGTACAAAACTTGAGGGACTTAACCCAATTGCACAAGTCCAAAAACTCCACTGTACAGATTTTATCTTACAGAACATTTATCTACATATTTTCCGTCCAGTTAATTAAATAACTATAATGACGAAATTAATTGAAATATTGTCTAAGGCATATAGTAGCGTATAGCACCTGAATGAACCAACATCAGGAATGTTAGATTTCCAGAGGAAAGTTTTCTGTGAATCTGAATGTTAGATTTCCAGAGGAAAGTTTTCTGTGAATCTGTATCAGATTTTAAAGATCGTCGTTTAGGAAAATAAAACTGCATTGCTAAAATATGAACATTCTTAAAAAAAATAATTACAGAATTACACAATAAGGGAAAAATTGACAATAAATGTCGCCGATTCGAAAGCACACACTAATAAAATGAATAATCAAGTTGATGAGTTACAGCTGGATCATGGATAAATATTATAATGAGAAATCGCAATTTGTATACCTTTGGTCAAAAACATTTCGTAATGCGTATGAGGTGTACACACTTCAGTACTGGTAACACAAACATTATAAACTATAGTACGGTACGATTTATATGGACGTATTTAGTTATCGGTCTGACGAAGCATCCCGAGAATGCGACGGTGCCTAGATTTTGTAACATCTGCTTGGTTAATGATAGATAGACTGCCCATATGTTCGAAAACGCTTCGAGAGCAGTATAAATAGAATGAATTACTTATACAAACATAGATTTTACCGTGTTGCTATCGTCAGAAATAATTAAAATGTGTTACTGTAGAATGAAACCGAATCAATATATAGATCTTACGATTTGTAAACAATAATTGATAATCCAATCATATTGTGAATTTAACGCCTACGTGAAAACTGAAGGCGGATGTATCATCGTTCGCAAATTAAAATTCACATCACTGATTTTTTAGAAAAATTGGATAAGTACTATTGACTTGAATGCTTTTATATCTAAAATCTGCAAACACATTATTTACCGGTGTATACACTATAAAATTCATTCTTAAGATAATTTGATAAGCAAAATAAAATCAGTATACCTTTTCTCTCCATTAAAATTTGGTAAAATTAAATCACAAAAAAAGCATGTGCATATACATAATTCCAAGACAAATTCAAAAAAGAATGATTAAAAAGACCTTTGATTTCAGTTCAATGTTCGAGTTCATAGATTTAACAGTAGTGTTGTCTGCTATCAGAACAAGAATAACTTTGGTCAAGCGAAGAAGTGGCAAGATGAGTACTGTATGGTGTACCTACTTCACCTCAATGGGGCCGTTGAAATTGTAGTCGACCCGCTTCCTCGAACGCATTTGCGTCTTGCAGTCCTGAATAATGTAATGGTTATCGATATCCGACGTAGGACTACTGCAAGTTGACGATGATCTGGATGAACTCTCACTATCGAACAATGTACAAATGGAACCGTCTTCACCAATACGATAAGACACTTCGAAAGGGTCTACCCATATAGTTAACTCACTAGGAAGAAGTTTCTGGAGGCGATTCCGTGGGATGCCAGCGGCGATTGCCGATTGTAGGATTATTGGGTCCATATTCAGAATGTTGATTCGCATACACCTAAAACCATTGCCTCTACACGGATGTTCTGGAAACCAGTGTTTCTCGTATCGTTCGTTTAGTCTGGAATCGAGTTCCGTACAAAAATCCTCTAAAATATCTGCTGGTACTTCGCGAGTGCGAAGCAAATTCGAAATAAAGTTCACGGCGCTCGTAATTTCTTCAATCATTTTGTATAAATTTAAAGTTAGGATAAATTTAACAGAGTTTAACTTCAAACGAGCATTCACTAAAATTCCGTAGTCTATCTGAAAAACAAGATGTCCTCTGTTAATCTCTGATTATGAAGGCCAAGCTTCCTCTCTCACTAAATGTACTTAATTTGTTACTTTCCTCAGCATAAAAGTATTCAACGAAATCACACGGGTATTATGATGAATAACCACAACCAAATTGGTGTAATAAGAAGTTGAATAGTGTATGGAAGACGGTAAAAAAATAAAAAATATCGGAGGTTTCACCGTCACGATCTTGCCTTCATTGTTGCTTTGAGCGTCTGGACGCTGAGTAAGGGCATTCGCTTGTTTTATCTGGCATTGTCCTCGCATGATATGAAAGCTACGTCAGAAGCAGGGTGCATTTCAGCCAATCAGTAAATCGCATTCTGTGACGTTACGGGGGTAGTATAATTTTGTCAACAAAGGTCACATAGATCGGGTAATTCCATCTCCATATTGTTAGCAAAATTAAACAATAGGAAAATCCACTGAGGAAATAGGGGGGTGAAGTATACATCATTATATGTGCGGCACCAACACTGTTCGTAAGGTATTGCAGATGTGATATTTTTCACATACAATTGGATATACCTATACAGTACAAGCATTGGTTTAATTTCTATCAATTTTAAAATACGATCTATTTTATTTTCTGTTTCTAAGGGAAAATTGTCTCTTCATTCCTGGTTTTAGAGATATTATTTATATTAGACGTCCCATCCAACATCTTTATCTTGTAAATTGTGCTTGAATAAAAAAATAAAATAAAATAAAATATTGTATTTTTCCATTGTGCAATTTATTATATACATATATGTATTATATACATGTATAGGCCTATATATATACATCTATATACATATATAGATATACATCTATATACATATATAGATATATACACTATATATACATCATATATATATATATATATATATGTATATGCATTATATATATTATATAGGCCTATGTATTATATATACAGTATTATATATATTCGTCTAGTACGGTACTTGTTAGCGTCAGTACTAAGTTAAGTTGTGTAGATAAACACATCGGACATCCTTTACTTTAGACCTACACTAAACACCATTTCTAGATCACTTGTTAAAAAAAGAATTGACCGACTGATATTTCTGAACTAACTAAATATATTTTATGTTAATAATAATTTCTAAATTTTAGGTCATAATGAAACTCTTTGTGTTTACATTATTGCGCCAATATGTCACTAATCGATATGGTGTTGACAGAAGATGAGTATGACTCTCTGTACGGTTGAAAAGCAAACAATATTGTTATGTGACTTTACGTTTCTCTAAAATCATGATCTATAATACTTTGAGTTTCGGATTTGGCATTGATTTTATCGTTGACATTTCCAATAATAACTATGAATCATAAACCAAGACATCATTTCTCGAAGTCGTTATCCCGTTGTCAATTTAATAATTATGTTTATCTAAACTACTTTCTTGAATCATCCAAAAAAAAAAACCTTCTATGATATAATTCTACATAGGCCTAATTAACTGATTTCCAGTGTTCGCTTGTCACCCCTTAACGAATTGTAAATGAATTGAGCCGAAGTGGTTACATTACATCAATATATGTCACAATAGGATCTAATTCCCCAAAGCCATTTTACTAAGAACGTTATTATTACCTATTATAAAGAGAGTGCAAATTGAACTTCAGTTTTCTTGTGACATACCGGTAACGCTCACAGAACTGTTACCCGTATAGTAATACACCTCACATAGTGGTGGTGGGGGGAGGGGCAGAGAGTTGGTGGGACAAAGATTTGGGAGAGAATTGAGTAGTGGTAGCAACGGAACGGCTTCGTTGTAATTTTATTTTATTTATTTCTTTATTTATTTTTATTTAAAACATCAGGATAACATATACAGGCGCGATCTTACCGCTGTTTTACAATATGGTCCTGCAAACACAAAGTACAATAACAACAACAACAAGCATTGCATCTCTGGTATTTTGGCTTTCTCTATGGGGGTGGATTTTTCTAATGAATCGTCATCCTCAAAGCTCCAAGCAAATGCATCCAGGCAGCACGTAAACCATATCGAATGTCAAGTTAAGGCGTATGGTTATTAGGAACAGGTGCAACGTCATAAAACTATGTGACGTCATCATATGACTACCTGACCTTAACTTGTTTGGGAAGTTCGGGTATAATAACAGAATACAACACCTCCTTGTTCGGGTGTTCGGTGGCGCATGCCGAAGTGAACGCCCACGAAAACGATTGTTATTGTGAGTCATGAACCCTTCGATAAAAGAGTACTGCTGTAGTATAAAAATACTACTTCACCGTACAAATAAATCCTGTAATCGTTGTAAAATATCCTTTGACAAAATTCTGTACAAATGTGTACTATTACAATAACAAACTCAATTTTAAAGCGGGTTCGTGGTCGGTCTATCAAAAAGCAATGGTCAGCGGGTACTTTTTACGACAATATTTACGTACATTACTGGATGAAAGCGGTTTGGCGTAGCTGAAACGGCTTGGTTTCCCGACACCTCTAGGTACAGGAATGGATTTAGAAGCGGAAGGGGCGGGGGCGAGCCGGTCCGTTTTGGAAAATAAAAATAAATAAATAAATAAATAATTGATGGTCCAAACGCCTCTGAGGTTATTTGCGGGCGTACTAAAAGAAAAAAAATCGCGGAAATATCCCCTTAGACTCCCTAGGAGAGTGTTCGATCGCGCCCCCCCCCCCCCTCTCTCTCTCTCTCTCTCTCTCTCTCTCTCGCTTTCAGATATCTGTGGATCCACCCCTGAGGGTGATCGGAGTTTCAATCGCTTCTCTCCACTCAGGAGTATAAATGGGTACCTGGTGTCGTTGCCTGCTCCCGGTGGGCTCAAAGACCCAGGAAACAAGCGCTTTGTATAAGGCAAAGAAAGGCGCTAACTATATATTATAAATATAAAATAAATAAATAAATGCATTAGGTATGATTTTTAGATTCCTCAGCTACATCTGATTTGTTTAATTTCAAATACGAAGAGTTGAGAGGGTAGGTCTGCGGCGGTACCGTCAGTGGTGACACCAAGGATTGACCGACAGGAAGACTGATATCCCCGACGGCAATGGGACAATTCCTACAGGAGGTTAACTAGGTGGGGCCAGCGCCCACCCAGCAGCCTTTCGGAGTGTGTACGCACCGCGCTTTACAGTTTTCCACCGCTAGGACCTATTTCTAACCATAGAGAAAATAGAACACTGATAGTTTTGACAGTCAAAAATATCAAATTTATTTGGTAGACCTTCTTGAACAATTGGCGCCCTCATTTGTGGCTTGTATCGCAAAATGCATCACACACACGGTATCGCCTTTGTTTTGGTGTGTGTGATGTGTAGCGTGTCTTGTATGAATATTTATATATACTATCGTCATTATTGTGTATTTCAATACTTGGAGTATGTATTATACTTTCTTATCTGAGATTAATCAGTGGACCTTTTGGCTATCGTCATTAATTATTCATGACCTGACGGAACTGGTGCCCATATAACGCTTACCAATGCAAAAACTATAATTTATGAAGATAGAGGGCGCTCATTATAAAAGATGCACGGTACATAATAAAAATTATTATGACTACTTTTAGTCTAGTATTAAAAGTACTACGATAATAATTTTACGTTGCTGTCTTCAACAACGTTTTTTTTAAATAAATTTACAAACCAACGAGATAAACTGCCTCATCAACGTTCACCATAATGCATTATGGGTAGGCCTACCAACCATTGCTTTAGATATCAATAATTTGGTCATAATACTATCCAGTTTAATTATCAACCGGTAATTTGACAGATTATTTGGAATATGATACTTAAATTTAATTTATTTTTTATCTATTTATTTATTGCACATCCAACAGTGTATACACCAATTACAGGATGGAATATAAAATAGTATAAAACTTACACAATATCAGTAAAAAGCCTAAAGTTTTAAAATAATAAAGAATATTTAACTGATCGAATGTAATATACTTAAACTTAGAAAAACTACAATGAAAAATATAAGATCCAGGATTATCACAAACACAACTATTATAAAGCGATGACAGTCTACAGAAATACCATTTTTACAGATATTAACACGTAAAATTTGTACATTTAAAATAGGTTGAGAACTAAGTCTACAAACAGGGAAATTAAGATAAAAATTAGAAACAATATTACAGGTAAGCATAGAATTAAAACACTTATATAAAAAGTAGAGGGCGTGTGTCATGTTGATTAATGCGTGTCATGAGATAACCTTTAATTTTTAAATTTTTTTTAGTTTAAGTGTTCGCGGTTTAAATACCGGTAGGTGACGGTCTATTGAAAATTAATGTAGAATCTCCATTCATTTGACGTTTAATGTGCTGTTCATTTTCAAATTTGGTCAATTACTTAAAGTTGAAACAGAAAATAAATCCAGCTACGGATGAATTAAGCCTATTTCCACCTTTGATTAGAAGTGGTTTCTATAGTGTCATTTTGGCGCCTAAAATTCTATGAAACATTCATTTTGGAGTTTTGCTAATTAACTGCAAATTGAAATTTATCTAATTGCATTGATTGGGTGGGGGACAGGATATTTCATGAAAGATTTTCACATCATTGAAGTATTGTATCAGCTGTTTAAATTAGAGTTTGGAACGCATGCCTAATTATCACACATGAGCATGAAATGCGTTTGTACTGTCAAATTAATCCTGTCTTTTAAAAGCTGAATTAAATATAGGTACCTAAATATAGGTCCCTAAATATAGACACCTACGTATTAAAACAAAAACAAAAACAAAAAACAAAAAAACAAAAAAAATTATTAGGCCTTGTGCAATAGAAATGTGACGATATATGTTTTTCGTCATGAAATGTAAATTGTGTTTCTAACCCCGAGGAGTCATGCTTAGCGCTTCTATCTTTGTTTTCATGTATTGTATCTAAACGTCGAAAGTATTGAAATGCAGTATCAATCAACAGCCTACCATACCTTAGAGCCAAAGCCGGTGGCAGTACAAGTACAAGTGTCTATTGTTGTGTGCACAATGCCTTTCATTTTTTGAAATTGCTATTGATAGTAAGATATCATCATCATCATAATGCCTTGTCATCATCATCGTCGTCATCATTACCATCCATCATCATCATCATCATCATCATCATCATCGACGTTGTCTTCATCATCATCATCACCATGACCATCATCATCATAATTATATGCACCATCATCATCATCACTATCATCATCTCCCATCGTCGTCGACGTGAGAGTTCAGTAGACGTCATCATTATCATTGTCACCACCATCACCACCTTCATAATCATTATCATAATTGTATGGGTAGGCTTACATTAAATTCATTTTTGCTATTGCTATCGTTGTCGTTAATATTATTCTCTATGGTTGTGTGTTCTAACTGGAAAGATGATTTTCATGTATATTGTATATGAAAATTGAGCTTGAAACAGATTCGTAACATTGTAGCATACATAATAACTATCGTGGCCAATGCAACGCAGACATTAACACAATCCGAATACACAACACAAAGTTTGAATTATCGTACGCCCTCTATTGTTTAATTACACAAAGACTAAAGTGCATACAATATTTCAAGAAATGTTTCAAGGGAGTCGTGAGTTCTAATTATTTCACTTGCATGCATCATTTTTTCTACATATCGTTTATAATATCAAAATTGTATTAATAGTAATCTACTCTATATATTTATATCGAGTGAATGATTCATTGACAGCAATTAGGTACAACCGTAAATGAAGATAAACCATACATGACTTTAAATTATATGGTTTATTTAATGTACACAACACTTAGTACTTTTTTCAGGAATAGGCTATATAATAAATTTGGAAGTTGCATAACTGATTTCGCGATAACATACAAATTTTAACTTTTAATATTACTTTAACAAAACTTATAAATAGTCAACATAATGGAATGTATTTTAAATTGTATTTATCAGCTAAAAGCTTTGATTACCATAGCAACAAAGTATATCAATAATTGAATAAACTGAGAGGATTTTGTTATCTTAAACACACTGTCGACCGACACGGGTGTGCCCTGCTTTACGAACACAATATCTAATGTCAATACATCATCATCGTTTTCTTTATTCATGTCTACAACAATTCGTGTTTTACCTCAAGTTGAGAGCTCACGTAAATTATTTGCATTATTATCATCGATGTTATAGGCTAATGTTTACACTTGTGTATATCGATATTGCCGCATGGATTTAGATAGAACCGTTTAAAATAAGTTGCTGCTTACAAATCGTCTCCTTATACTGCTTCAAATTCATTAACACAATGTAAAAAAAAAACATAGATTAGGCATATACTCTAGAGGACAGCAAATATATTATGGAATCAAAATGAATGGAAGACTGTGGACTTTAGGAATAAAAGGTACATTAATTGACCGGCGATGTTCATGAATTAACCGGCAATAATACATTTGGTGTGGGCAGCGGCAGGCACAATTAGCACGGAAGAAGATAAAGTATGTTTTGGTTATGATAAAACAATTAGTAGTAATATAGCAAAAGCACATGTACTGATTACACTGCATAGCTGCATATTATAGACAGTTACATTACATTACATTCTTACGTTATAACACCCGTTTCGAATGATTCAAGAGTGGCGCTTAGTATAGACATGACTTGCATAAACAAAAGACAATTCAGTCTACATAGCGCAATAATTGCGACATACTGTCTACCTCAATTTTGTGCAGCAAAAGTGAAAAATAATATATTACACATTTACAAAGTAATTCAACAGCGCTGTTGACCGAGTTTATTAACCGGTTAATAATAGAGAAGACATAATGGTATTGTATACATTTAATGCATAAATATGTAACCATATTGTTATAACTAATCAAACAACTTGGGTTTGTGCTCGCATCTTCTGCTTTTTTGTACACATCTAGATGTGTATAAGAGACAGTATACACGTTAGTTCTAAGTACTATTATAGGCTTTTATTATGTAGGTCTATACATTTTATAAATCATTATATTACATATGGTTTTGAATCCAGACTGTTTGCGTCGCAATAGTATTGACACGAAAAATGCAAATTGTGTGTGACGTCTATTGGGAATAATAAAAACACAAGACAGTTTTTGCAAACTTAATCAACTCAACTGAATCAAATCACTGGAGAGAATTATTCCAAAACAACGAATAATTCTCTTAAGAATTAAATTATCAACTGCCTTTACATCATTCTATGTTCTCAGATTATTGTTTTCAATTATAAATACTGTGAATAGATATATCTAAGTCTCCTGCGGTACCACTTAAGGAGTTAAGCACAACTCGAGATTAATAATAACTTAGTGAAATATAAATTCAGGTTTTATTTACTTTCTAGATGCTTAAAGATTTGTATATATGAGCTAAAGACATCTTTTATAATAACAAAATACATATTTTAGGAAAATATACTCAATCAATTGCTTCATTGTATTTAAATACTAAAAAAAAATATGATTTGCGTTGTTGGTTTTACATTTATTTGGACTGACGACAATACGCCATATAATCATTAATGTACGTTCGGCTCTGTCAATTTTCATGAAGTACATTTTTGGATGTGTTCATCATTTATAATAAGCTCGTTTTACGGTAACATAAGATCGAGAAATTCGTTTTTCTAAAACAGGCCTAGCTAGACAAAGGCCTGATTAAGAATTATGAAACCAATATTTACTTTCGAAAAGAATTTAATGACATCACATACCCAGTAACACAACCAATTCAACCAGACAATGTTATAAAACGTAGAATATTCACATTAATAGCTCTTGAAAAATCTCGAGGTGTAGTTTAACTGTCTTATTATCATCGATTTCGCAGATGACTCAGTAGAAAATTCTCAATCGCTCACACATATATTATCATTAATTTATATTTTTCATTTTCATTCCGCACATCATTAATCAATCCTCACCATGATTAAACGTATCCATCATTTATCGATCTTCTTAAATTCCTTTCTGGTATTGAATATTCAAGGAATATAGAGGCCCATGGTTACCGTATACACATTCTAACCTGGAAGATTATGATATTCTAATATGGCCTCGGGCCACAATGTTTTGAACTGGGATGGGAACTTTTTGGTCCGTTATGGTATAGATCTGTACCGTAGTGCAGGCCTACATTATGTAAACAGTTCTGTCCTGTTTTAACAAGAAGCTTGATACTCCTCAAAAGTGAAAGATAATGTGGAGACCCCCCACCCCCTCCCACCTGCTATAAGATATCGGAATTGGATTTATGTGAGTACGAATTTTGAGGGGAGGTAATTAATATCAATACTGATACTCTAAGAAAGCTTATGTCTCGTCAAATTATGAAGCCATTATTAACTATCTATTAATAATTCGATTGGACATAATACTAATTATTACTTTTGAAACGATAATAATTAACATAAGCCTAGATTAATTTGTCGCTTAGGCCTATATATGTATTCAGGGCCTGTGTATAAGAAATACGATCCGCAATGTAACGAACGAGAAGCGATCATACCGTAATTATGTTCAGTGCTGCTATTGCACGTAAATTAGCAGCTTATGGACATGAGGCGTTAGGGGATTTTTTTTGTGGGCCTCAATATTCAACCCCGTGTAGTACTAAGTGTATATTCTCATGTTTTATATACTTTTGCATATTACCATTATAGGCCTATAATCTTAATTTTTGCATTTATATGTAGGCCTATCTTCAGTGCAATTGGATTCGTTTAATTATTGTGGAGAAACATACTTTCAGTGTCAAAAGTAGGTAAAGTAGAGTTTTGATTGTAGAATATGCCTTGCCATTACAGCATTGCAAATATCGGGGATAGGCCTACGGTTGCAATGTGCACGACAAGTTATATATTATATTATTATGTAAAATGGGATACATATCATGTTTATGTCAATTAGAATGATAATATTACATGGTTGTATAGAAAATAAACTTTGAAATATTCATATCGTGTCTGACTGATTCAGTTCAACGAAACAAGCACTGAACTTCCTCCGATCAGTTTATTTCATTACATGCACCAAATGCAGACGATAACTCACCGTCAATCTGCGCTGCCATATCGTAATCAACCATTTGCTGTTATATACCCATTTTTTAATATTTATGTATATTTTATCATAACAGTGTTATAATGAAATTCATCAAATTGAAACATTAAAAGTGCTCCTTTTTTAGGGGGTTGTGTAATAGCATATTTAACATTTACACAGTATACTTTCACAATATTATCTTAAGACTATTCTTCAGTAGCGTATTGTTTTTATAGACGATAAAATAGGTCTAGAATAAAATGCGCGACTCTTAAGCCTGATTTAGACTATCAAACTTCAGAAGTCTGTTCTATGTTGTCTAATTCCCCGATCCCACCTCCTGCGAAAAAGTTGAGCATGCGCGTCAGCCAATTGTTGCATGTGTATTACACGTCGCACAAAATCGCAGCGAGAGTATGCGTTGCGTTTATTGCGCCGCATTAAAACGCGTTTAAACTACTCTGTTATATAAAAGCTTTACACAAATTGGCGTCCGTGCAGGAATTTCTACTTAATATACGGATAGACATCATTTGAAATATATTATAGTTTACATATAAATTAGAATGATCAGTGTCTATGAATGCATTATTATAATTATTAAGTATTCTGATGTTTTTCCAAAATTCCAAAACGATATGAAAATAATACCTTGCGTCGCCTATTATTGATACTTGCGAGTATAATTAGAATAAATTATGCTATTAGGCTTATGCTAATACTTTTTTTAAATAATAAATCTTATTACTGTACAAATTAGAGGACTAATCCTTTAACATCCTGTTGTAAATTGGAATGATTTGCAATTTTGAAGAAAATATTTAAGTTCTTGCAATTTAATGTACTTTGACGTAATGGAAATAAATACATTAAATGAGAAAGGTATATTTATTTGTGATTATGAATGGAGCATAATGAATCTTTCCGGAGTGTCAATCAAACTTATCAGCTGACCAATCAGGACAGTGCCAGAAATACGCGCGTGTCTAAGAAACACACGTGTGGTTTTGTGGGACCTTAGCAACAATATCCAAGGGGCGGGGCTTACCGGAAAGGCCCATTATCGAGCATAAGATTACAGTAATTGGTTCATTCTTCACTGTGAATGTACAGTATATTTTTGCTTAAATACTTTTATATTCAAACGAGTGTATGCGTTACAATGTGACATTTCCCAAACTGCCATAACATTCCTTTTTGTTGTACACGCACTTTGTGTTGTACACGCACTTTGATTAACATTTTTTTCTGCCCTTTCCATTTACGTAATTGGCCATTACCAATCTATTTATCACGACGACAAAACTTCGCATGTTTGTAGGAAAAACCATCTGGTCGTGTAAGAATTCATGACATAATCATATTTATATAGTCATGTTTTCCGAAGGGGAAAACTAATAGGCCTATAGGAATGTATGAACTAATTTTAACTTAATAACTTACACATTTATGTGTTTATGGCCGAGCATTCAACGTTATGTTTTAATTATTATTTGTTTTAACCATATTTATAGAGGGTGACCTTTCCAGCGGAACCTGATCGACTGATATTTAGGGGCCCTCTTAAATATATGAAATAACGTGAGGCTTTTATTAGCGAAGTCTTTTTATGAGGTTTTTAGTCGTGAGAAAAAGTCCTGCTGTCACATGTATTGAACCAATGACCCTGGGATGAGAAGACTAGCATCTTAACCAATAAATTATCATCGTTTATCTGATTTCTGAGCAACATGGAGATTTCGTAAGCTTACGAAAACGATAGCGAATACGAGTACGTCATTTTCATTATCTTATTCTTGCCTTAAACATTCCTCCATGGTGCAAGGTACATATACGAGCTGAATAAGATCGTTGATGGCCTACGTTGTGAAAGATATGCTATGGTAGTGAACGGATTGACTAAAAAATGTATGACGTAATCGTTTTCGTTATCGCTTGCTAAACCTTCCTATTATCAGATATAATTTCGCATGAAAAATGGTAATTAACATATGACGTATATCACTTGAGAAATAGCAACAATATGAACAACTGAATAATATGAAAATCAAACCGGGACCAAATACCGTAGAATGACTCTTGTCAATGCATTTGTGGTGTCTAATTGTATTAAACTTAATATTTGATTAATAGTATCAAGTGATTATATGACTGATAAATATGCACTTACAGTACTATCCAGTAAGATGTTTCGATTAACGAAACTGTATTTTTGAACAAAGATAGGCCTATGTAATTAACACTAATGACTTGTGAATCAATTACAAATGAATCGAAATTCTTATTATTATTAACCCAAAATAGAGTTGTCACCTAAAGCCAATCGCACTCTGTCGACAACGGTCGGCCGACGCGATTCTACGAAAACTGTCGTCAGCGACGGTCCGCTCACTCAGACTGCCACCAAAAATCAGCAGACGGCGTCGCGTCGTAACGTGCCCATACAGTGCGGGGCTGAGTACTCGATGACAAAGTGTCGGCCAACAGAGTATGCACTCGGCTTTAGACTAACAAATTTTCATAGAATTATAACTGCACTGAAAATAAACGGTTGGTTGAGTTCTCTGGTATGTTTGCTCAGTTTGCTGGCGAACTAATGAAGTACGATATCAAACAGGTGATTGTAAGACGTAATGGCCATTGCTAACGGTAATGAAATCACTCAGCAGAGTGTCAAAAAAGGTAAAGTAATGGAAACCCAACAACCGCTATCATCATAGCGTAGTGAGTAATGGTCATGAACAGTCTCCAAACTCAGCTGCTGCTGCCGCGTAAAATATTACGCAGCATTTTTCACGATGCCCACTCTCCCAATGTTGTCGTTGACACTGGACGCTGCAGTATCTTGATAACTTGCAGTTTCCACACAGTTTCAAAGTTACTACAGAATTTTCATCCGACTTTTTACAGGTCGGGAGCGAACACCACTTTACTGGTACATCAGCATTGTTATTATTCAGGATAGGACGGTTCCAGTTTTCACTTGACAACCCCACTGGGTAATGACTTATTATTCCATTGGAACGTCGAAGATTCTCCCCAACTCGTCCAGCGAGCTCAAAAATTCTTAATCGTCTTGTTTCTTCGTGGGTCTTTAGATCATTACAGTATAGTGATATCGACTTGAACACTGATGCCGTGTCTACATACTCCTTTCCAACAGCTCCTGGAGAGGTAATAATATTTAAGATTCGCAAACATATTTCCCCATGTTCAGTGTTTTTTATTCGGGGAAGAAAGCAGACAATTAACTGCAAAAGACCACTTGTGCTGAAGTCAAGTTTTGATGTAAACCCAACTTCGCCGTTGCAAAGTAACATGTTATGAACGATGGCGTATATCGCCCGGGACACTCCGTCCGCTTGCGCACAACTCTCCAGGGCCACCATTGTATGGTGATTGTTTGGTTTCATGTTTTGCGTCAAACTGTGAATAAAAATCGGAAATATCCCTCTACTTTTGGCGGCAATTGTTTTTCTTCCACTTCCGTACGCGCATGCCATCCAAACTAATTCTAGTACATTGTGAAACAAAAATTCCTCCTTCACACTGTGTATTATTTGCAGATGAGCGAGGCATATTTCCAAGCATGTTTCGGTTATAGTCTGCACGTATCGCCAATAGAGATCACGCGACGATTCTGGCAAGATTGCGAGCGCTTTCAGGAAGTCACGTAGCCTCCATTGATCCTGAAGTGACGACGCGTTGCGTATCCAACTGTCCACGCGCTCGGCTTCTTCCTCTATAGAATACTCACTCAGATCCATTGCCATTGTGACGTGTAAATTATGCGACAGTCTACTGTATTTGTACAACATCAATCTCTACTTGAATAAAAACATACAAGTATAAAAAATAAAACGGATTTATAAAGCTAACCAACTATCCTCAGCGTAACATCCAAGTGCGAGTCAGTAAGATGGTTAGCCTGTTGGTAATGGCGTGGCGCATTACGAAACACCTGCGTGAACTGTTCCATAGTGCACGTGATGATCCCACAAACAGACGCTGGTTGACGAAATCATGGTCCTGTAAAGAAAAGCACATAGGTTGAAAATCAAAGATGTAGGCCTACTATTAAATTTCATGAATAATAAGAGTTTGTATACATGTTAATAGACAGCACCAAAACGAGCGGTGCCGTATTCATTTAAAATACAACCGACAAATATCGGCGAAGAAATACGACTACTTATCGATGGGTGACCATAGTTTATGATTACAACTTCATTGTTAACTTAAAGTGATGCCGGGTATCGCGCCAAATTGCAAATTTAGGTTCTACGCGTAATTTAGCGTGATTGTCCCTAGTTGTCCCAAGTAATTTTGTGTATTTGACTTGTAGGGGAGTGCGGGGACTAAGTGATGTCCAGATCGCACATAACTGCGACACTGTCCAGTGTAATGGCGTTATAAGTATAACGTAGTAAAAATGCAGTGAAATTTTGTCATTCTGCAGTGTAACTTTGTCATTGTTATGCAGGGTGGATCCGCATTCTCCCAAACCCACCATTACCCACACTTACATGTGGAAATCACATGTATGATTACGCGCAGACCTATATTTGCAATGGAACCTAAAGTGCCGTAGGATCGGTAACATTAAATCCGACATCCGTATGATTTAAACGCTTCTTTGTTCCTTCTTTGAAATATCCTAATGATTAATAAGAATTGTAGTTTTAGTAGTTATTAATTAGCAGTATTTTAAATTAAGGGTTTGGAGTAACATGTATGGGAATACATAGGCCTAATAAACGAAGAATTTCAATTTAATGCAAATGGGAGTTTAACGAATGCACACTTTTAGGTTTCCTACTTTTTCTTGAAAAGTAAAAGAAATACAACTAAACAAAGACATAAATAATTGCAGCTGAGCATAAAATATGCTATATTTCCTGCACAACATGCTAAAGAATGCTCACATTAGGTGAGGAAGAGAGGGAAAAGAAGACGAAGAACCAGATGAAAGATTACATGATAGCTGGGTAACGACACGGTGTATTGTATGAAAATTAAAGGATACATATTTCTCCAAGCTCAAAATCAGTTTTTTCATGCATGCGATCAGGTGTAAAAATCTTTTTAAGAATTAATCGTGAGCCTTGACCGATTTTAACATTATCATTATTTGACCGGGGAACTGTCTATTAATCCACGGTGGCCAGGACATTCCTTTTATTAATAATAAATTATTCAGGTGTTAATTAAATATTATTGTGATGAAACAGTTGGGAATAAAACTGACATGCATTGACAAATCCATCTCCTCTCTTTGAGCGCTGCCGACGTGACGCCGTCTGCTGCTTTAAGGTGGCACAGTGGATCGTCATTAGCAACGATCCATTGCTCGCACCTTTCGTAGCGCTGCGCTTCCTACGGAATCGCGTCGGCTAACAATCGACGGTGCAGTGTGTGCAGCCAGGCATTTACTGCGTCGTACGACATCTCCAACTTCACCCCCTGTGAGCGCTAGACGACGCAACGCTGTGAACTTTAATATCGTAATTAAAAATTTGTTGCGCGCCTGTCGTGGCGTTGCGTCTCCCTAGAATCACGTTGGCCGATGACCGCCGGGCGTAGTGAGTACCAGGCTTTGTGTACAGAAACATCCACAATTTGGTTAGGGAAAATCGGCTATAAATGATATTTTTTTCATACATCTGGCCAGGTTTTGATTTCACTTGATATAAATAATTTTATAAACATGAGATATACAACTCATTGCTTTCAATTACTATAACTATTCGCATATATAACAAACAGTCACTCAATAATTGTCAGAACTTTTCCAATGTGATGTGAACATAATCCAAATGTACGTCAAACGTAATTCTATGGACTTACATTCATGTAATGCTACCATAAAGAAGATGAACATGTTATCTTAAAGGGAAGGTGCAGGGTTAAATTTCATTTTAATAGTTTACTTAATTACGACCTTATTGGGAAGGTTTTTACACACTTCCTCTAAAATCGAGCAATGTAAAGTGGGTTCACAATAAATAAAAATGGTGGCATACTCATATTACTTTAAGAAAATTTAAGATATATTATAATTCCTGAAATGTTCTTTACCGTTTGCTGAGAATTTTCTCAGACGCGTTTGATGAATGGAATAATATTCAGCAAATATCCGATCGAAGATTGTAGGTTTATTTACGTCTACAAAAGTGACCTGATTCTTTTCGAAAGTTTCGTGTGGAAATATATTGTCGCTCGTCTGACAAACCGCCGGAAAAACTAAATTTTGGCGCAAATATTTCAACGTTCCAACTAACAATACAGGGGTACTGAAGTTGAAATGTCAATCAAACTGAACAACCAATCAATCTGGACATGTTATATTAGGGATATAGTGATAAGAATACGCGCATGTCCCATAAATACGTATGTGGCTGTCACAAAAGTTCACTCTGATTTTCAATTGGGATTTAGATTGAAATAATTGTCATAACAACAAACAATGTTGCCGTGAAATTGTTTTGCTTTTTCATAAAAGCACATACAAATACACTAAAGGTGTCCTAAATCTATTGGTTTTGCACTAAAAGGTGGCGGGTTTTCCCAGAATTGCTAATAATGATTAAGTTCTAAAGGGGATTTGGATTTTCTTGCTAAATTACCTTTACGATTTTTTAGTTTAAAATATCTCGGTAACAAATCTAATATTTGATAGACTATGTATTATAAGTCTGATGATCTGTTGAATAGTCATAAACGCATTATATCTGACACATTAGTGAGTTGGGAAATTATTACTTCTAGTATAATTCCAAAAGGGTATCAGTAATTTATATAATGTTTATGCGATTGAACCTCCCCCAAGCAAGCAACCTTTGGTTTAGGGGAAGTGGTTGCTTACGAAAGGTGGTCGCTTACACGTACCCACACACACCATAAGGCCCAAATTAATGTGATCAGTGACGGATCCAGGAATTTGAAATAGAGAGGAGGAAGGGAAGGCCTTTCACAGATGGAGGCCTATATCACATCAGTCCCACTATGGGTGGGGTTGAGACCAGAACATTTATGATTATGGTACCTCTAGGTGGCCGGAAATTGCACTCGTGTAGCGATTGTATGGAAACCATGCTTTACTCGAGATAAAATACGAAGCCATATGGATTAGATAGATGCAAGGCACTTTCTGAGGGTGAATGACACATTTTTAGTACAGTTAAAATATTGTATGTATGGCATATGTAACTATACATTTGTTTGTTGTCTGTGGATAATATTTAGAAAACCTTTTAAAATTACCAGTCTATGTCCTTATAATTATCAATTGAAAAATAATATTAACTTTATACCCAATTATTTTAGTTAACGCAAACATATGTCTAAAACCTGAAGAGAATTTGCCAATAAGTTGTGTGTTTCCATACGATCAAATCAGTTTAACTAGTTTATGTATGGATACAGTCTAAATTCTAATGTACAATGTAATATTGTCGTTTGCATCAATATTGCTCATTATCGGAATTACCAAAGAGGGATATGTCTTCCTCGTAGCGTTAACATGGGAAATCACACTCCAACGAATGCTGACCTATTCGGAGATGATGGATTCTCTAGCAGCACTGTTCAAATTGCATTCTACATAATTATTTTAATAGCAGGTTTTTGGACAGTAATGGTGGATTCTCGTCTTGTATAGGTCCTATTAATTATACATATTCCATATCACTTCATGCATTCCCGTAAGGTACCATGTACCATTACTCGACTGATGTTATTTTTTAAACTAAACTACCGTTGATGGCGTACGAAACTTCAAAAAGAAGCGCATATTCGTATAATATTATACATATACGTGAAATTTCCGTTCAATTTAATTGTTTTTCGTATACTTTATAGACATAGATATATGGTATTATTTTATATTATAAATACTGTAGAGGCATGTGGCTTCACTATACAAAACAGCTATATTCTTGAGTCAACAGTTTTCTGACATGATATTTAATTTACCATCATGTTTGATGGGCCAGGATGTTCATTTATAATTTTCAATACATTATACGCTCAAAGTAATCATCGCTACATCTCGGACCATAATTAAGGTACTCGGGAACCATTGCATCAGGGCCCTCTGTTTTGCTAGACAACGACTACAGCTTGCCATTGAGTAATTGTTTTCCCTAGGCTATGTTCATATACCGTAATAGTTTTCTTTTATGCTAAACGAATGTATTATTTGATAAACACCGTAACATTGGAGTTTATGGGATCTTGGCAGACAGTCATTTCATGCACATTTTTGTGATATATGAAGAACTAATAATTTTGCCGCTAATTAGACAACAACAAACCAATTATGGTAATACAGTAACAATAGTGATAATAATATAACAGAAATAACTAAATAATAATAATAATAATAGAGTAATAAACTGACATTTATTTACGGTACACCTTATCTTTACACTTAGTTTGCTACATAGTGTGATACTGTTGGGCAGCGCGAGTGATGATTTTATTTGATTTTATTTTTTCCAAAATACATAATAACAATAGGCCTGATAAAATTACAACAAAAAACATTGAACATTGAAACACAGAAACCAGGGTAACTCATAAAGTAGAAAAGACACAATTTATTTCCAATGGGTCATCAAAAATAATATCAAGCAATCTGGTAAAGATATGATTCTAACGACCTTTCATCCTATTATATCACAGCCATGCAAAATGTTAGTTGAGTAATGACGGATGCCAAAAATATGAAGACACAATGGTGTAAGTATCAGACACAAACCATTATTTCTTTTAATGTGTTAAACGATAATATTTCATGTCGCGCAGAATTTATCATTCTGACGCTCCAAGTATTAAGCATAAGTGTTTTAAAATTATGATTAGTGAGAATTACTGTCTATAATTTAAGAAAGACCCTCGAATTGTAAGGCATCTTGAAAATATTAATACGCAGCCTATAATAAGCCCCGGCGCACACGAAAGCTGCTCCCCTACTTCTTACGCTATTTGCATTTGTGGCAATTGTATACTCTCATGTGCGCTGCTTT